CTCCTCCCCTCATGGCATATGTGTCCACCACAGGGGCTAAACGGGGGCTCTGGACGGGTGCGAGGGGCTGGTAACCCCTCCACCTTCAATTAATTACCACGAAACCACGAATTAAACTGAAATATGTAACAACTAAGCTTGTGCCGGAGGCCCCGGGGGGCCAGGCGTCTATGACGTCTCCTGGCCAAACCCCAATTGGCGGAGCCAGGAGATTGAATACCTACCCTCGGGGCTACTCCAGAAACAACGAAAAGCCACTACGGGTGGCCACGTGGAATGTTCGAACGCTCACTGCAGAGGAGAGGCTGCCACTCCTCTGTCGGGAGCTGGACCGGTACCGCCTGGATCTATGCGGCATTCAGGAGGTCCGGTGGACCGGCTCTGGCTCCTGCCACCATGAGGGGTGGACAGTCCTTTACTCGGGGCAGCAGACTGCCAAACAACAGGGTGTGGGTCTTCTTTTGAACAAAAGAATGAAGGGGGCGTGGGAGCGTGGCGGTGAGGTGTGGGAAGCTGTAAGCCCCAGGCTACTTTGGGCTCGCCTTCCCATCAACCGGAGGCGAGGAATGGTGGTCGTGGTTACTTATGCCCCCACCGAAGATGAACATCCGTGGAGGGATGCAGGCAAAGCCGATGAGTCAGATGCCTTCTATGACCTCCTGTCACAGGTGCTGGCTAAAGTGGCCCCTCGGGATAGAGTCATCATGTTGGGTGACTTCAATGCCCGAGTTGGTCATGATACTGGCACCTGGTCTGGAGTGATTGGAGGGCATGGGCCAGATCAGCTCAATAACAACGGTAGGAGGCTGCTAGATTGTTGTGCAGCCCATGGGCTTGTAATTACCAACACGCTGTTCCGGCATCGGCGCATCCACACAACATCATGGATGCATGCCGGGTCCAAGCAAGAACATCTGCTGGACTACATAGTGACGGACCAGCGAATGCGAGCCCATGTCCTTGACACCAGGACCTACCGTGGAGCTGATCTGCCCTCTGACCATCGACTAGTCATCTGTAAGATGCGCCTGCCATTCTTCCACTCCGGTGGTGGGTGTACACCCAGGACCCCATTCCAACCTAAAGTGGCCTGGTCTCAGTTATCTGATGAAAGTTGCAAGCGAGAATTTCATCATCGCTTGCGGCTGGGATTGGCATCGTCCCCGACTCCTCCGGATGTCGAGGGTAAATGGGCGAGGTTTAGGACTGTGACTCATGCAGCTGCAATGGCTGCTTTGGGTACGCGGTCCAGACCTCCCCAGACACCCTGGATGACAGAGGAGTTGTTCAGGATGGTTGAGAAAAAGCGACAGGCCCACTGTCATCGGCTACAGAATCCCACGTCAGAGAATGAGGAGGCTTACCGCAGCCTTCGCTCGGAGGTTCGGAGAGCCGTGAGGCGCTGCAAGGATGGGTGGTGGTCGCGGGTTGCTGAGGAGATGGAGTCTGCCTCAGTGGCCCGTGATCACAAATCTCTATTTAACTCCATCAAAAAAGTAACCTGCAGCGCCACACCTATTACCATCATTAGGGGAAAAAACGGTGATCCAATTTCCGACCCCCAGGAACAGGTTCGCAGATTTGCTGTGCATTTCTGTGAGGTCCTGGGGGAGGGAAAATCCCTCAGCCAGGAAAACACCGTGGCACAAAGTGAGGATGACCCTGCTGAGGCTGCGGTGCCTCAAATATTGGATGAAGTCACCCCCTGTGAGTGGCTGGCTGAGGTGCCATCTGCTGAGGAAGTATTGAAGGCGATCCGGAGTCTGAGACCAGGAAAGGCAGCGGGCAGAGATGATCTCCCAAGCGAAATGCTGAGGGAGGGTGGCGTTTGTGCACAGACTGCCCTATATGACATCATAACAACAGTCTGGACCACTGGACGGGTTCCGCAGGATTGGAAGGATGCCCTGGTGGTCCCCCTTTTTAAGAAGGGGGACCGCACAGACTGTAACAACTACAGGGGCATCTCACTCCTCAGTGTGCCGGGAAAGGTCCTGGCAAGGATTATTCAGCATCGCCTTGCCAGGCACGCTGAGGAGAGGCTTGCGGAGCCCCAATGCGGTTTCAGGAAAGGGCGGTCCTGCACAGATGCCATATTTTCTGTCCGTCTGCTACAGCAGAGGTGTAGGGAATTCCAACAAGACCTACATCTCTGCTTTATTGACCTGGTCAAGGCCTATGATACCATCAGTAGGCCTGGGCTCTGGGTCGTTCTTCGTGCTTTTGGAGTACCTGACCCTCTGCTCACGATCATTAAGGACCTTCATGATGGTGAGCGGGCCCGGGTAAAACTACGTGGCCGGGAGTCAGAGCCATTCCCTGTACACCTTGGGGTGCGACAGGGATGTCCTCTGGCTCCCACATTATTTAACATCTATTTTGACCACGTAGTTCGTGAAGCCTTCATTAGCTGTACCGGGGGAATCTCCATATGGTACAGATATAATGGGAGGCTAATCGATGCCCGGGTGCGGTCAAGGGATGGCTCCCTATTGCTCAACCACGTTATGTATGCTGATGACTTGGTAATAGCGGCTCAGTCAGAGGAGGAGTTGGAGACGCTGCTGCTGAGACTGGAGCGTGCCACTAAGAGGTGGGGCCTTACCATCAGCCCCACCAAAACTAAGCACCTGCCTGGGTATTTTGTACCATCGGACACTCCACCCCCACAACTCCCAATCGGTGATGGGGCAGTTGTGGAGAGAGTGGAGAGTTTCCCATACCTGGGCAGTGTGCTTATGACTGGCTCCAGTTTAACAGCAGAGGTCTCACTCCGAATCAGTCGAGCGGCAATATCTTTTCATCGGTTGCGTAACGCTGTGTGGAAGCTACCTGGTCTGTCGCTCCGCACTAAGCTTCAGGTCTTCGCGGCCACGGTCATTCCCTCCCTTCTCTACGCTTGCGAAACGTGGACCCCCCTAATGGAACATCTTCGCCGGTTAGAAACATTTAGGCTGGCCTGCCTACGATCCATCCTGGGTTTAACCAGACTGGATTGTGTGAGGAGCTCACAAATCCTTGAAAGATCTGGGCAGGGTCCCATCGGTGAGCTCCTCCGGGAGGCAAGGCTGCGATGGCTGGGTCATGTAGCCCGCATGCCCAGCCACCGCATGCCGAAACAGCTTTTGTTTGGCCGGATTGAGGGGGCTAAGCGGGCGCGGCACGGGCTAGAGAAGAGATGGAGTGATGTGGTACAGGAGGACGTGGAGCTGAGTGGACTTGCCGATGACTGGTACCAGCGGTGTCAAGATCGGCCTCTGTGGAGGAGGCTCGTGAAGGATGCTACTGGGCAGTTGGAGGCAGTCGCCCTCCAACAACAACGGAGGGCGGAGGAGCGACGCTCACAACAGCGAGCGGAGCGCCGGGTGGCTAAAGCACAGCAGGTTGGCACAGTAGGGGGCACAGGTGGTGCATCAGCCAGTCATCTCAGTCAGTCGACCCGTGGCACCTGGGTCTGCCCCGTGACCACCTGCCAGCGGGCGTTCGACACTTCACGTGGCCTCAGGGTGCACATAGCCTGGCACAAGCGTCGTGGTGACGTCACCGCCACTTAGTGGCGAATGGCGGTTGTTGTTGTTGTTGTTGTGTATGTGTGTGTGTTAGAGTAAGTGTGTATGTGTGTGTGTTAGAGTAAGTGTGTTAGAGTAAGTGTGTGTGTGTTAGAGTAAATGTGTATGTGTGTGTGTTAGAGTAAGTGTGTGTGTGTTAGAGTGTGTGTGTGTTAGAGTAAACTTGTATGTGTGTGTGTGTTAGAGTGTGTGTGTGTGTGTTAGAGTAAGTGTGTATCTGTGTGTGTTAGAGTAAGTGTGTATGTGTGTGTGTTAGAGTAAGTGTGTATGTGTATGTGTGTTAGAGTAAGTGTGTATGTGCGTGTGTTAGAGTAAGTGTGTGTGTGTGTTAGAGTAAGTGTGTATGTGTATGTGTGTGTTAGAGTAAGTGTGTATGTGTGTGTGTGTTAGAGTAAGTGTGTGTGTGTTAGAGTGTGTGTGTGTATGTGTGTGTGTATGTGTGTGTGTTAGAGTAAACGTGTATGTGTGTGTGTGTTAGAGTAAGTGTGTGTGTGTTAGAGTAAGTGTGTGTGTGTTAGAGTAAGTGTGTATGTCTGTGTTAGAGTAAGTGTGTATGTGTGTGTTAGAGTGTGTGTGTATGTGTGTGTGTTAGAGTAAGTGTGTATGTGTGTGTGTTAGAGTAAGTGTGTTAGAGTAAGTGTGTGTGTGTTAGAGTAAGTGTGTATGTGTGTGTGTTAGAGTAAGTGTGTGTGTGTTAGAGTGTGTGTGTGTTAGAGTAAACTTGTATGTGTGTGTGTGTTAGAGTGTGTGTGTGTGTGTGTGTTAGAGTAAGTGTGTATCTGTGTGTGTTAGAGTAAGTGTGTATGTGTGTGTGTTAGAGTAAGTGTGTATGTGTGTTAGAGTAAGTGTGTATGTGCGTGTGTTAGAGTAAGTGTGTGTGTGTGTTAGAGTAAGTGTGTATGTGTATGTGTGTGTTAGAGTAAGTGTGTATGTGTGTGTGTGTTAGAGTAAGTGTGTGTGTGTTAGAGTGTGTGTGTGTATGTGTGTGTGTATGTGTGTGTGTTAGAGTAAACGTGTATGTGTGTTAGAGTAAGTGTGTGTGTGTTAGAGTAAGTGTGTGTGTTAGAGTGTATGTGTATGTGTGTGTGTATGTGTTAGAGTAAATGTGTATGTGTATGTGTTAGAGTGTATGTGTATGTGTGGGTAGCGCATAAACCGGTCAGGGATTAAAGGACCGCAAACAGCGAGCTCCTGCGAATTTCCCCATGCTGTGACCTGCCCCCCCCCCCCCCCACGTGCTCCTCCACCCCCCCCCCCCCACGTGCTCCCCCCCCCCCACCACCACCACCACCTTGCCTCTGCCATTCGATTGGCTCCAATGAATCGCCACACGAGATCGGCAGCCCAGCCCCTCAAGGTTTCCTCCTCATCCTCCACACAGACTAGGAGGTGAGTGTGGTGTGTGTGTGTAGGGGGTTTGGCTTGAACCCTCCTGACGTTGGTTTGAGCTGTTTCATCACTGCGTTGAGAGCCGAGAGTAGGAGGAGGAGGAGGTGGTGGTGAGTGTTGTGGGCGGGTAACAAGGAGGAGGAGGGAGAGGGCATTTGGTGGCTTGCCAGAAAGTGGCCCGCTTGGTCCAGCCACCGCCACCACTCTCTCAAAGAGGAGAGGAAGCACCGCGTGCTTTTTTTTTTCTATGGAGAAGTACTCACGAAGATGACCATGATCAGGACTAAAGAGGAAGAGAATTGCACGAATGGGTGAGGCCTTAGTAGTGTTATGACCGTTTAAATGTTTAATGGAAACCGCAGCAGGTCTATCGCTCGCTCTCTCTCTCTCTCTCTCCACTCTCTCGATTTCTCTCTCGGGCACCCACTGTTGTGTCTGTCTGTGAGATGGAGGGGGGGGGTTGTTTTTTTTCTCTCATCTCACACTTCCCAATGGCAAGAGTGAACGATTTGGTGAAGGTTGAGTGCCTTGATGGAATGAGTGTTATAAGTTGAAGAAACAACTCTTAGTTCGGCACGTGTTGTCAAATGTGCCTGCCAATGGACATACTGTACTGCAGTGTGGTGATGATAATGCCGTGCAAATTACCTCCTAATGTAAAATCTGTTTCTGCTGGTTATAGAGCATTGTTGCTGTACCGTTTTTCAAGCCAAAAAGAGATTGCATAACAATTGTTTAAAATAGGTTAGGGCTAATTATTAGTTTTCAAAAACGTATAGCAACTGGAAACTACAGAACACTCGGTTAAAATTCAACTTGTGGTGGTTAAGCGAAAGTTATTTAGACTCGGATAATACATGGTTCGTGTATACAGGGTAAGCTAATCTAATCCGTGGTGGTGTGGAGTTACAGATGTTGCCGATAATCACATTTAGTCCACTTACCTGCTTGGGGAAAAATCGCGACTAATAATATCGCGGATTTTAGGAGTTCTCTCAGACCCTGCAGCTGTGGATAATCGAAGACGCGGATATCGGGAAGTGTTGTACTGTATATACATTCCTACAATCAAAGTGCTATTTCAACGAGTGTTACCTAATTAAAACTCTTTTCTCTCTCTGTAATACCGAATAAACTAGGACATTTAGGCCTACGGACAAAAGTACAACACTGTTACAATAATGTTGTCGTGAACGCTTTTGACTCATTTGAAAAATGGACAAGCTAAAGTTGCGGCATTCTCTCTGGACGGGGCCCGCCAAGGCAAGAATGATGGAAACCTTTTTTTTTATATATCTCGGTTAGTTGGGACATGTTGCAGTATTTTGCAATGGACCGAGTCATGTTAACCAACAAAGTTACCAGGTGTGTCTTTGTGAACACGGCTGCAGTATTGACCCCGTTTCCATGAAGCACACAAAGGTCCCGTTGAATAGTTTAGTTTTCCTGCTAGTTGCTAGTACCCCCCCCCCCCCCCACGATTAATGAGCACGAAAGTTATTTCCGATCCGTGACCAGCAATTACCAACACCACACTCGCAATCGATCGGTAAATATTTGCTCGAACTTATACACTCGCACGGTGCGAAGCATTTCCACGTTTCGCGTTTAGCAATGCAATATTTGTGGTGGTTGTGGTTGTTTCCTCGGCGGAAACTTTAACGTTTGCTCATAGGCGCCGTGGCAGTCAGCTGACTCAAGGTCTTGATAGTTGACACTTGATGTCGAGTGCAAAGTCATCAATGTGGGCGGACGCCACACAACTCGCTCAGTTCTCCAAGGAATAAGATTGTGGCGGTGCTAATGACGGTTTTCAGGGGGCTAGCCTGAGGCTAAGTGCTTACGTAAATTTCACCTTATAAAAGCGTTAGTTAATCTTTATAAACACGACTTTCCTTGTGCAAGCTTATTTCTGAGGGGCCTCCAATATGCAACATTTTAAACTGCTTTGGATGCTTCCGATGTCCTGACCGCAGCAATGCCTGTTAATGAACTTGCCAAAAATATATATTTTTTAAAACTCCGTTTTAGCTTATAGCAGTTTCTTTTACAGTCATTGGTTGTTTCACAGCTGCAAATTTTTTTACCATCAACTAGGTTTAAGGGCTTTACTCTGAAACACAGTTTACCGTACATTCCAACCATTTTCAATTTCGCCAACGGATGAAGGTCCTCACCAAGCCATGTCAGTCATGGGGTGAGGGTTGATGAAGTCTGGGGTGGGAAGCTGCAGGACTGGTTCTGATTCTATTCGGTAAAGTCACGTAGGTAAAAAAATAAAACAACACAAATCACGACGTTTCGGCCACAACACAAGTGGCCTTCATCAGGTGAAGGGGACCGTACTGTCACGAGGACAGCGTTGGAGTGATCTCGATTGTCCACTGATGTAAAGTGTGGCCGGGAATCGAACTAGGATGGCCAGGCTCGTATAGTGTAGCACGCTCACCATTGTACCACCAATCCACTCTTTCACGGCGTAATTTTAAAGGGGGCTATTTAATATTGCTGACATTAAAATGTATCCAAGTAACAGGGTTTGTCTCGCTGTGCCTCTTCTGTTTTTCCAGTCGTTCTTCAGAAAACCCCATCCCATCGCCAGTCGATGGATTCAATCAACGGGCAGACACATTCAGCAGTGAAGCCGATGCCTTGATCGATATTAAAAAGAAGAAAAAGCCCCCCATCTTGAGGTAAACAAATCCCTCTGGAATACATGCGACCCAGGTGCTTTATCATTCACCGTTAAAGCTGTTCAAAACATTTTTGGTGGAGCAGTTTACCCGCAATACGCCTCTTCAGACCTTTGTTAAGTACGCACAGTTACAATGGGATGCTGTTGAAATTTACTTCTAGTGTGCATGTGCTCCGATGTAATAATGGAAGCATATAATTACACAGACTGTTAAAATGAATACTTGGCAACAAATACACATTATTACTGCGGATAGAATGCTCTTTTACCTGTATAATGAAGTGAAGGCCCTCTCGTGCACCCTTCTATTACTGAATCTGCTGTTCCTGTTACCTGCCCACTCAAATCAATCTATGGATCCTCATTCATCATTGTCATGGTCCATGATCTATCCATCTGAATGAAGGCCTCCCTTTCTCACGGTCTCGCAAAGCAACAATACATCTGGCTTCTGCACATGAGCTGATTTCATCGCTCCATCTCCACAATGGATGTCCTCTCGGGTTTGTTCCCTCCTTTGGCTGTCACTCGTTCGTTAATCTCCACAATTGGCCAACATCTTTTATTGTCACATGACCTATTCTTGTCACGTCACCAATTCTCAATCCTGTTTACTTTTAATGACATTCAGTGTGATGTCTTCAACTTGCGGGTGTTGTCTCATCTATGTATTCCTCTTTCTGCCTGTCAGTGTAATTCCAAGAATTCACATCTTCAAGCTTCTCCGTGCACTTTTCAACCATTGTTCCATTTTCGATTAACCGTTCGGATATCCATGCTTACCCGCAAATAAGAGTAACCAGGAAGTGCAGTTAAATTCATCCTATTACAGTGTTCGTGTTAAGTCTAGATAATCGGATCCACCACCAAAATCCACACCTCCCTCCCCCCCTCATCAGCATGAATAAGAGGACATGTACTTTTTATGTTTCTTTCACCACAGATCCAACACGTATCATCCTTCCTTAGCGAGGACTGGAGAAGTTGAGAAAAAAAACAAGTCCCCATCAGTCTCTGTGAGTAACTCACTGCATATCACTAAGTATCGCCTTCTCAAAACGTCGTGTATATTGCTTGAAATATAACATCTCTGTGCGTCACCGCACAAACGTGCATCGAACATGAGAGGCCAATCGTGTGTTCCTGCGTCCGTAAAAACGGTTCATCTAGCTTTGAGGCGCAAGTGTTACGTCAGTGATTTAACACATCTGTTAGATTTATTGGACAATTCACAGGAATCTTGCACTCACAATGGAATGTTCACCTAGGCGCACTGTATTTAAAGTGTGAACTTAATGACAACCATGCGCGTGACTTAACTCGATTGACTAGACCCCCATAGAGCAATAAAAGAATGAGGCAATGGGGGAGATAAGGGCCTTGATTCGAGGTCAGGGCCTCTGTAATATGACAGGCTGTACGCCTCGGGGTTCAGCCGTTCGTTACTTTAATTGAGGGGTTGCTTTCGAAAGACTGCAATTTTTGGTACATTGCTCAGTTAAACTGCTTGCGGGTTGACCACCAATCAGGATGCAGAAAAGTCACAATGGTTGCTGATCGTATTGAAGCTGACTTTAAAAAAAGAACGTACTGTATTTGCACATCAAGGGGCAATGTAACTGCTCAGAACCATACCGTTCTAAACCACAAGGTACATAGAGGTTATTTCTCGCTAATGACGGTAATTATTTCCTTTTGGTGCAGCATGTATCACATCCTGGTGAGTTTGTTTCTCAAGTATGGCACAGTGGTTTTCTTGTTTTGGCCGTGTTTTTTTTTTAGAGAAGCACAGAGCATCACGTCAACTAAAAACTATGCAAATAGAACGTTCAGACATCTGGTCGCAGTGACGATGAAACTTGAAAATAATGGCTGACCTGATTTTAACTGTTTCCAACGTGGATGGTCATAACTATTTTTACGAATATTATTGCTTCGAATTAATAGTGAAATTTATCACTTTATTACATGGAAACGTGACTTTCCAACATCTAAGATATGAGCCATACACAGCACAACCATTGCATATACGACTTGCGGACCACTGAGGTTTAGGCGGATATGTGAAAGGTCTTGTTATGTTAATTTACAGAAAAATTACATATTCTGCACATATAACCGCACTGGGCGTGGGCTGGTAAGTGGTCAAGGTGGATATGTGACGGTTGGAAATGCTGCATACTGTACACACTGTATATATTAAACAAATGCAGTTTTTGCACAGATTGTTGGTGCCCTTCCATAACGTGGCGCTTTGTCGGACATTTTCTTTGCTCTATATTTGCTCTCTAGCCCCAGAACAAGTACACCAACCAGTTCCACAAGTTGTTCAAAGAAATTCCAGAGGAAGAAGATCCCATTGAGAGTAAGTATAATGACAGTTTTGGTTCACTATTTTGTATTTGTATAGTCCATGTTTTTTTTTTCATGCAAACTTTGTATGTGTGCTTTCTCCCTCCACAGCCTTCAACTGTGCACTCCAAAGAGACCTCATATTTCAAGGCCGAATGTTTGTCTCCGAAAACTGGATCTGCTTTTTCGCCAACTTCTTTGGGAAAGACGTAAAGGCATGAAACACTTTCATTCTGCTCTTGGTTATGCAAGGGGTTCTGCTGCCCACATTTAATTAAATAAAAATACATTGAATATTTCTGTAATACATTACGGTACAATTCTTGTTTTTTTTATAATAAAAGGTCCAATGTCTTGTTAAACTTTTTTAGTTACACTCGTTAATACAATATTTAAACAAAGTAAGACATTCAGAAATTATTTTAAAATGTGGTAGCGATGGCCGATGCAGCTCATAGTGTCGTGCGTGGCATGTGCACTGTTAGTTGCCCCAAGATGGGCACACTAAGGTAAATTAAAACTCAACGAAAAAGGCAACCAACTCTTCTGGCTTATTATGTTGCATTCACAATCCATTGCATTGAGGTGTCCTAAGTGGTCATGGCTAGGCCATGGCAGAGTCAGATTTTATTTCGCATTTAAAACCATTGTTAGATCTAATATTCCCACAGGCTCATTGAGCAAGTGGGAAAATTTGCGTTGACTCAATGGTGACCCAAGATGAAGGATTTTTTTCCAGCAATGTAGCTGAAATGTGTGCAATAAATCAATAACTTTCTCAAATAATGTACCTGCCTACCTTGTACTGTTTTGTAATAATATTAATAACCACATGTGACTCATTTACAATCGGGCGATGTCTCACTTCTTGGTGAACAATTTGCATAATTATAAGAATGGGCTTGAGTTCTCGCATCTCCTAAGAGACCAACTGATTAAATCCACCATATTATATTGCGATTTTAAGCTTCCTCCTAAGATTGTCAGTACATTCATAACATTCTCAATTTAGCATCAACACTCCCACAGCAGTCGGTTAGGATGAATGGTCATATTCGTAATGAAATGAACATGTACTTTCAATTTAAAAGGTGCTAATGATCCATTTGAATGGCTCAGTGGTTAGTGCACTGCATTTTTTATTCGGTCAACGGAGTTAGATTCCAGTCATAGCTAAAGTAAGTGGTGAGTTATATTTTAACCAGACCTGAGCATCACCTTAGCCAATCCAGACTGGCCAACAGTGAGAAGTCTGGTCAAATAGCCCTCATAAAGAGCATGGCATGGGTAGGCTAGAGTCCAGCAGTGGATTAAAAAATGTCTGTAAATTAATATTATTGTTCGACAATGATCGTGTTTTCGCATGTAATTTTAGGTTGCAATTCCGGTGTTGACTGTGAAAGCGATTAAAAAGCAGAGAAGTGCGCTTCTGCTACCAAATGCCATTGGCATAACATCTGCCTGTGAAAAAGTAAGTCTCATTTTGTTATCGTCACAAAGCTGTTCAATGTGTAATTTTTCACATTAAAACATTACATACCAATTAAACATTTTTACAACACTGCCCCATGAATAACATGAATATTAATTGTATGGTCTAATAATGTTATTACACTATATAAAAATTGCACTTGATTCTTGTTTTAATTAACAGATGTGGTGTTCTGTTTTTAGCACATGTTCATCTCCTTCTTGGCCCGGGATGCCGCATACAAAGCCCTGCTGTCTGTCTGCAAGCAGGCCGAGGTAAAGCAATAGCCTCGTGCAGGATGCTTCCTCTGTCATCTCATCTTTCTTTGTCTGAGCTGGCTGCTTAACCCCTAAGTGATACTTACACTGTATCTGATACTAAGTTGATACTTACACTGTACCTGGTGGACTCATTGAGAGCGGCTCTTTGTGCACGCATACATTTCTGGATACTTACATTTTCTAATTATAGGATCTGTCATTTTGGCAAATGTTATGCTGTCTTCCACCTGATGGGCAATTCTCTCATGGTTGACTAAGCAAATACATTTTTAGTCCCACAAGACAGATGGGAATAATTTGTAGAGGAAAAAAAAGAGCAATAGTGAAGCTACGAAGTGCCAATGAGATGGGAGAATCCATCTCTATAAAGGTTTGAGTGTTATCCCTTTTATATGTGTGGGTTTTCTCTGGGTACTCCTATTTCCTCCCACATACCACACTCAATAAAGGAATTGGCCAAACACACCATTGCAGACCCTTGTTGAAAGAGATTAGCGAGACTATAGGGCATCACTGTGCTTTTAGCAGAGCTAAATGTCACTACACAAAGAAGTGACTCTCAAAGCATGCCGTTTTATAAGAACAACATCATAGTGAGTATTCTTAGCTGTCTTTAAAATTAATTTTCAAAGCATGTAATTAAACAAATGTTTTGTCATACATTCACCAAATCTGTCACGAAACTATTGGTCATGTAAAGAGATCTGTGGTGTATATTGTTCTTAGTTTTAGAAATATATCAGATGTGCTGCATGTTAGTGTCAAACTAATATTTTGAAATGTTTCACATAGGCAGTAAACGAAAACAGTTCCAACAACCTTGTACAACTTGGGCAGGAACAAGCCTCCAGCAACTGCGCCAGGCCTGATGCCTTCAATCCGGTAACATCTCCATGTCTTTCAATAGAAGAGTCTGGTGGAACAATTGCTAAATCCTCTTGACAGCACTGAGGAATTAAAATTTTGTAGCATGGACCCATTTCCTGCATTCCTATATACTGTACTTAAAAATTAAATAAATAGATACATGGATGTTTTGTATTTTCTGTGACGACATGTGAATATTTGCTTACATTCAACAACATTTAGTATAAATTTTGATTTAAAGCTTTCGTGACTGCAGGGATTCATATTATTGTTTCTTTCGGTAAAGTCACGTAGAAGGGAAACAAAATAATAAAAATATAAAACAATAAAATCCTCACGACGTTTCGACTGAAACACAAGCAATCATCATCAGGTGTGAAAACCACAGCAAGAAAATGAGAAAAAGTGGCGGTTATTTTTAACATTAGCACCACGGAGAGAGATTTGACAGTTTGTTCAGATGGACGAGTCCATCTATGTTCGGAAAAGAGGAGGGGGGAGACGAAAATGATGGATGCGGTCTGAAAGCCACTGTAAGCGTGAACAATCAATTAAGACCCGAAATGGTTTATCAAATCCTTCCAATGATTGCTAAGCCAGAATCCATCTTCTCGGTTGAAATTGTCTCTATGTTTGTATATGTGGATAGCCTAATGAACGAATCTCTCATGGTAGCCAGATGGCTTGCAAAGAACCTCTGTCTTGGCGAAGTCAATGTCATGTGAGCCTACTGAATTATAACAGTGATCTCCCACGGCCGAGATGTTGGTCCTACCGTGTTTTAGGTCTGCTTTGTGTTCACGAATGCGGTCCGAGATATGTCGTTTGCTTTCTCCAATGTAACTACTACCACAGAGGCAACTTAGTTTGTAGATGCCAGGGTACTGTGTGTCCGGAATCACATCTTTTACAGATGGAACCAGATCACGGATTTTATGTAATGTGTTGAATCGGACCTGGATCTTGTGTTTATTCAAGATTTTGGAGACCTTTTTTGTGATCCCCGCAATGTAGGGTAAAGTGATGGTTTTTAAAGGCTCCTCAAGAGGGTCCTTCTTCATGGTTGGAGTGATAGCTTTGCGGATTGTGTAGTCGGAGTAACCATTAACCTTAAGAGCTTGGTGTATTTGCTTGAGTTCACTGGCTATGTGTTCTTGGTCGGATATGCATTGGGGTCTATGGTGCAGAGTCTTGATGAGGGAATTCTTCTGGGATGGATGGTGGTGGGAATCCAGTTTCAGGTAAGCATCTGTATGAGTATCTTTCCTGTAGACTGAGTGGCTCATTGAACCATCAGGTCTCTTTTATTAGGACATCCAAAAAAGGTAGCTTGCCATCTTTTTCGACTTCCATGGTAAATCTGATGGCTGGGTGTATGGAATTGATGTGGTCGAAGAATTGGTCTAGAGCAGGCCGGCCATGTGGCCAGATGACAAATGTGTCATCCACGTACCTCTTCCATAAGGTTGGGCGTAGAGTGGCAATCTGGATAGCGTCAGTCTCAAATTTCTCCATGAAAATGTTGGCTACAACTGGAGATAGGGGGGAGCCCATTGGGGTGCCCTCAGTTTGTTTGTAGAAAGTTCCATTCCAAGTGAAGTATGTATTGGTTAAGCAGTGTCTCACCAGGGGGGGTACCTCAGTGTTTAGTCCTTGATGAACCAAGTCTTCAATGATTGCGATGGTGTCAGGTACAGGAACTTTGGTGAATAAGGAAACTAAAAACTGACAAGCAGGTCGTCTGGGGACAGGGAAATACCTTTGACTGTCGATACCAGGTGAGTAGAATTTTGTACCGCAGAGGTGTCTTTTCCAGTGAAAGGCTGCAGGATTTCAGACAGAAAACGAGCCAGTTTGTAGGTGGCGGAGTTGATAGTAGAGACGATGGAACGAAGGGGTGTATCTACTTTATGTATTTTTTAGCTCTTATCTCAGAGAAAATCAGACTTATACGCACCGAACTAGATCAGTTAGACAAGACACTCTACAAATCACACTTATCATTGACGGCAACAATGTCCGGATTGGGAACATACAGACAATATGACTGCCTCTTCAGCTGCCACTATGTCGACCAAATGTAAGGACAACCGGATTTCCAAATTTAACCTTCTCTCCAACAAAAGACCGGAGCCACACACCAAAAAGCTAGACGTTAACAAAGTCGTAATTAATCGCAGTAACAGTTCTATTTTTGATGGTCTGAAATCTGTTTTAGCTAAATGGCTAAACTTTGCAGTCACACCTAAACACATACCAGTTAATGATATACTTGCCCAAGTAGACGTGGCTCTCAAGGGCCTGGGTCACATCGCTGCAGACGTAGCAAGATCTGAAATTGCTGCAACCCTCAAAACGCTAAGATGCCAGCTAGCAACCTCAGCAAAGATGAGCGTTTTGAATTATATAAATTGAAAAAGAGGGATGGCATTGTCATCCTCTCAGCCGACAAGGGCAATGCCACTGTCATCATGGATAAAATAGAATATAACAACAAAATTAAAGAATTACTCAACGATGGCAGCTATACAAAAATAAAAAGAGATCCCACCAACAGCCTCGTCATACAAACCAACAAAATCATTTCTGATTCAACCGCATTAATTGATCAAACCAAACAGTTTTCGTTGAAACCTTCTGCTACCAGGCCACCAAGATTATACGGCTTACCAAAAATACATGAAGTAGATACACCCCTTCGTCCCATCGTCTCCCCCACCTACAAACTGGCTCGTTTTCTGTCTGAAATCCTGTAGCCTTTCACTGGAAAAACACCTCTGCGGTACAAAATTCTACTCACCTGGTATCGACAATCAAAGGTATTTCCCTGTCCCCAGACGACCTGCTTGTCAGTTTTGATGTAGTTTCCTTATTCACCAAAGTTCCTGTACCTGACACCATCGCAATCATTGAAGACTTGGTTCATCAAGGACTAAACACTGAGGTACACCCCCCCTGGTGAGACACTGCTTAACCAATACATACTTAACTTGGAATGGAACTTTCTACAAACAAACTGAGGGCACCCCAATTGGCTCCCCCCTATCTCCGGTTGTAGCCAACATTTTCATGGAGAAATTTGAGACTGACGCCATCCAGATTGCCACTCTACGCCCAACCTTATGGAAGAGGTACGTGGATGACACTTTTGTCATCTGGCCACATGGCCGGCCTGCTCTAGACCAATTCTTCGACCACATCAATTCCATGCACCCAGCCATCAGATTTACCATGGAAGTCGAAAAAGATGGCAAGCTACCTTTTTTGGATGTCCTAATAAAATGAGACCTGATGGTTCAATGAGCCACTCTGTCTACAGGAAAGCTACCCATACGGATGCTTACCTGAAACTGGATTCCCACCACCATCCATCCCAGAAGAATTCCCTCATCAAGACTCTGCACCATAGAGCCCAATGCATATCTGACCAGTAACACATAGCCAGTGAACTCAAGCACGTACACCAAGCTCTTAAGGCTAATGGTTACTCCGACTACACAATCCGCAAAGCTATCACTCCAACCATGAAGAAGGACCCTCTTGAGGAGCCTTTCAAAACCATCACTTTACCCTACATTGCGGGGATCACAAAAAAGATCTCCAAAATCTTGAATGAACACAAGATCCAGGTCCGATTCAACACATTACATAAAATCCGTGATCTGGTTCCGTCTGTAAAAGATGTGATTCCGGACATACAGTACCCTGGCGTCTACAAACTAAGTTGCCTCTGTGGTAGTAGTTACATTGGAGAAAGCAAACGACATATCTCGGACCGCATTCGTGAACACAAAACAGACCTAAAACACGGTAGGACCAACACCTCGGCCGTGGGAGATCACTGTTATAATTCAGTAGGCTCACATGACATTGACTTCGCCAAGACAGAGGTTATTTGCAAGCCATCTGGCTCCATGAGAGATTCGTTCATGAGGCTATCTACATATACAAACACAGAGACAATTTCAACCGAGAAAATGGATTCTGGCTTAGCAATCATTGGAAGAATTTGATAAACCATTTCGGGTCTTAATTGATTGTTCACGTTTACAGTGGCTTTCAGACCGCATCCATCATTTTTGTCTCCCCCCCTCCTCTTTTCCGAACATAGATGGACTCGTCCATATGAACGGACTCGTCCATATGAACAAACTGTCAAATCTCTCTCCGTGGTGCTAACGTTAAAAATAACTGCCACTTTTTTCAAATTTTCTTGCTGTGGTTTTCACACCTGATGATGATGATTGCTTGTGTTGCAGTCGAAACGTCATGATAATGTTATTGTTTTATATTTTTATTATTTTAACATTTAGTATAACAATATCAATATTGAAATTTCTTTAAATCGAGGTGGCCAGGTAGCTATAGAGAACGGAGCCCTGAGCTGGCATCACAGAGTCCCTGGGCTCAAATCCAAGCAGGCACCTGTGTTTAAACTGGCTCTTCGACTGTACGGATGGCCTGAACCGGTCACCAATGACTGCATGGAAAAAATCATTAAATGTGTTTTTTCCACTTAATTTAATGCCAAAGTTTACTCTTGAAAAAATATATAGGTTTCCCTATCATGTGTCAATCGCAGCAAAATCATAGCAGAATTTGAGGGGAAGTGCAGCCTCTATTGTATAAATATAGAAAAAGGCCACTTGAAGGGTTTTTCAGAAGAGGTTCTTTAAAAATCTCTCTTGCAGTTCTCAGACACACGGGGCTGTTCTGATCTGGGGGATTTCCACATGGATTCTTTTTTCTGCAATGATGCTAGCAGTGGACTGGAAATAAAATTCAGCAAAAGATGATTAATATTCATCCAAAAAAAAGATGTGACACTTTACGTAAAATATTCATTTGAAATGCACATCATGAGAATGGGATTAAGGCTAAAAAAAAAAATTTTTAAACACAAATCCTGACCTTAGCTTAAATGTGTTTTGCGTGTTTTCGTTTAGACAACCACTGATGGATTGCGTCTTGAATTGGTCCTTTCCAATCAAACCACTCCAAGTACACAAAGCAGCAGCACCAGCTCTGTGTTTGAAGAGCATGAAGGTATGCATCTGGAGTCCAGTCAAACATTTGACGTTTTAAACATACAGTTCCTACTTAAGTCAAACATGTATTTAAACGCTGTATTGCTGTACCAAAGAGCTGTTGCATGATGGTGAACAAACTGGACTTGCAATCCAGAGGTCACCAGTTCAATCCCCCGATGCAGCAGTTGAAATAGTGGTGAACTTTTTAAAAATCTCTCCACACCTCTGTCCAACCGGCGATATAAATGAGTGCACCCACAGTGAATCGATCGGCTGGTCACGTGTGGTGCTTCTGCTTCAATCCAAGACGTCTGGCCAGCGTTGAAGAGTAGGCCAAATACCCTCTGTAGAGCTCCCTCTAACGGAGGAACTTCTACCAGCGATACTGGAAGCAGAACTTTGCGGAGCTTGCACCTTCATCAAAGATAACCTTTCTGACCTTTACTTTATTATAGAAAGCAGCCCGACAGAGATCAAATGGAAAAACGGTCTGCATGAGCCTGATGGCATCTCAAGGCCATCATCAACCCAGACAGCGGAACCCCCAGCCCCCTCATTTACCAGTATGTATTTTTTTTTTTACGCACAGCACAAAATAAGGAGAATAAGTGCGATCCATACAAGTTGAATGCGTGTGTCTCATACAATTGAAACCGCTCATGTGTATTGTATTCACACAGGTCTATTTACACTTTGAATTCCACTGATTCTGTGGGAAAAGTGGGGGTGTAGCCGTCCAGGTGTCTCAGCAGTAGAGCGATCAGCTCGCAATTGGAAGTTCCGCGAGTTAAAATCCCGGTTGGGAGTTGACTCTGCCAATCATTCCTCCAGGGTCAAGGCATGATGTGGGGGGAAGTAAACTGGTTTTCCTATGGATAGACTCGCCCCAGCCAAAATAATGTTGAATCTCCATTGCTGCCTCAGGGATGTAAATTGGAGATGTACGTTGCCTCAATGCTCAATTGAGCAGTAAATCGCTTTGACTTGGATTTCCATTGCTCTTGTGGTGAAGGGGAGGTGACCAGAGGAACGATAGGATAGGGCGAGGGGAGGGCATTCGTTGGGAAAGAGTCCACAACCGTTTCGAAATATAGAGCTTTATTTAACGTTTCAGGTCAGGTAGAGGGCATAAAAAGGTGAAAATGAATGGGGGATTATATTAGCTGGTAAACTGTCATCTTGTTCTGAATTGTATAAGCTAAAATGTTCCAATGCATAAAAAGATAGAGCATGTGCACCCAATCTGTCAATCCAGTATGTATTTCAGAATTGTATGAAACGAATGTTCTGCTTACCATTAGAAAAGCGGCAGGTTTGTGTATGTTAATATTAGGTCAGGTGCCGTGGTTTTGTGCCAATTTGTATTATACAGAATAAAGAGTGATGTGCACTGGCACATAAGCACATAGAACAAAAAGTTAAAAAAATAACACTGCTGTAAAAGGAAAACAAAATGAAAATTAATATTTTGGGCAATGGTCCTTATGCATAGCTCTGCTATCAAGAAGTGCTATTGCCCAAAATGCCACCTGTTACATACATTTGTTTTCATTTTGTATAATCAGTTGAAGTTGCATTCATGGAGCATTGATTCACCCAGTTGTCCTCTTGTCGGCATAGAGGTGTTTTTGGGCTTTCAGAGACTTTTGCAAACAGCTACCATTCACCTCCTGAAACTGTAGTGACATGCCACTCTCTTGTCTCTCCTCAGGCAGACTCCAACAAAAAATGTCGAATCTCTTAAGTTCAACACCAAGGACAGAAGATCAACAATCAGTGCATTACATTCTGGTTGTGTGCACTTTACTGTAAGCTTAATAAATTGTTGTGCATTAACAATACACTTGACAACAATTTTAATTATCTACGGATGCACGAGGAAATTACGCTTATGAATTGTAATTAACTCTGCCTTTCCGCTTTCAGGATCGTCTTGCTTATGGTGTCGTCTTGTTACATGGCGGTGAAAATAGCATCTTTAGAGGCTCACCTGACTTCAATCGGGATGGGACCTGAACAGCAATATGTTCCTGGGTAAGCCACTTTTTGCCATATATAACATTACCTGATAACTGCAACTCAGCAGAATATTTTACATTTGGAATTTTTAAAAAACATCATGGCTGAATTTAGAATTGTTTGAAAAGTTTAGATTATGTTCAATATTACAAATCAAGCATACAAATCTATTTGGTTATGGATATGAGCCACATATCCACTTCTGAATGGAGGCCTCCCCTTGCCAACTTCTTCCCTCATCGTCCTGTGATGCCACAATCCATCTCGTTACTAGACACAAGTCAATATACATTCTTGGTTCTTTCGGTAAAGTCACGTAGAAGGGAAACAAAATAATAAAAATATAAAACAATGAAAAAATTATTTTTATAAACATTTTATTGTTCTATATTTTTATTCTTTTATAAAAATTGTATTGTTTTATATTTTTATTATTTTATTGTTTCCCTTCTACGTGACTTTACCTAAAGAACCAAGAATATGAATCCCTGCAGTCACGAAAGCTTTAAATCACAAGTCAATATATTTCGCAACTCTATTTGGTTGAGGGTAATCAGCAATACGTTAATAATACTACAGTAGTAATGTGCATGAAATATTAAGCACTAGCACCATTTTTTTTTAAATAAGGCAAACAACTGTTATGAATGTTGTCATGTAATTTAAATACATTAATACAAAATATTAACACTACCCATTTTATGCATTTTAGCCTACCCGACCGAAGCAATTTGAATCCCATGTCATCTGCTGACAAAGTTGACCTCACCAACAGTGAACTGATGACTTCTCTGGCTACGCTAGGCAGTGTAAGTTCCTCCAACTGCAGTATACTGTAGTGTGAATAGGTAACGTAAAATTTGGTATATTTAATGCTAATCCCTTAGTCAATTTACAAGGTTTTTTTTCCACTAATAAAAAGTAAATATGATGAACCACAGAAATGCATTGATGCTGTATATTGTATGTTATATGGTATGGTTAAATATCTTGTTCGGGGGGTTACAGGTTAATGTGCTTGTCAGAGAGGTGCTATGCAAATGTGATCATTTTTAATCTTAACTGTCACTAAGTAATGCTATGTGGCATTACCATCTGCTGTAGTGCTAAATTAAAACGGGTATGTATGTATGCCATTGTCTGTTGGCCCAAATTCTACATTTAAAATCAAATGGTAATATATTTTTTCTTGTATGCTTGCGGAGGTCAAAAAGATTTGATAATTGACTATTAAAATTCGGCAGCCTCGCACTCGTTAATTTACTTTGCAATGGAGTAACCATGACATAATTGTGCTCGATTATATTATATGATTGCTGAATAAAGAAAGTGCAATATAGGAAACTGTGTGCTGAACTAAGATATGCTCTTCATCAAAGTCTCATGAGCATATTCGTCCATAAGCAAGCACTCACAATATATTTAATGCATATACACGTACAATATTATTCTGTGCACTTGACAATATCCAGTTCACAGTTTCTAAACAATCCTTATTCATGCATATTTAGAAAATAAGTTAATGTAATATATATGCAGTAGTAACATTGAATCTATTCTCCTTTCAGGTTATAAAAAATCTGGATGAATTGCTTGTTGAGCTACAGTCTCTGATCACTACTGCTTCACTGTCATGATTTCAAGACCTTCTGCAGGCAGAAGATTGTTGGGACCATTGGGGCCAGAAAAAGAGGCCTGTCTCCATAGCTGTATTTATGCACATGAAGGGATATACTGAACTCCACGATGATTAGCAACATTTTCAACCCAGGTTTAAAAATCTGCAAGTGGAGCCAATACAATTCCAATTGCAATAAATTATGTAAATAATTACAACTGCCATGGTGTAGTTGCATTAGATATGTTACCACTGTATACAACTCGGTGGATAATTTTGCTTATGCATGTGGAGTTATCTCTTTCACAGTCTGCAGAATTTGAGTGGTATTTTCTAAGTTTACATGTGAACAATGACATTCTATGGCTCAGGGTACAGTGCCATTGCTGGACTGGATGTTGCTGTGCATTCATGTATGCTTTAAAGTGAGGATGTGCTAATTGGTGCTGATCGATACTGACCTTTTTGTGTTGAAATATCCTGTAAAAGAAATCCCCAGCATGTGTGAATTTGCAATGAAGTCATGATATTAGCACCTCACTTTCAGAATACAGCTTATCCTGCACTCGTTCAGCACTTATCTGCCATTGTGTACATTACAATTTTTACTGGGGACTTCTTTCCCATTACATTGTATAATGTACAAGCAATATCCTGAAAGCTAATCATGCCAAAAATCTTTCATTAAGAATTTTTCTAATTTCAATATCGAAGAATATTAGGATTTAATAATCCAGACGACGTAGGAAAACAATGTTTTACGTGCGCAAATCAAGCTTTTTCACATTTTATTGAAATAAGCCGTGAAAAGTGACTCGCCCGTAATTTCAGATTCACTATTTTTATCGCACATTTTAAATTTACAATCAAGTGTCGGGAACAGTGCTCGTCACCTGTAATGAGAATTTGGTAATTCATTGTTCTCTTACATTTCCGTATCAATTCCCATTTAAACCTAAAGGTGCAAAGATGTGGTCTGCAGCAAAGACTTGTGTGCTTGACAGCACGATTGGTTGACAGCTCTTTAAAGTGCCTATACTGTATTTTTAAAAAAAGGCCCATCAACAGCAAAAGATTGTAAATTAAGTAAATTATCAGTAGCGTTGCAGGTGTGCAGTGCATATGTGCAGAAGTATATCTGTTTGTTGATGTGTTGAATGCATTTACATCAGAACCAGTGTAATTTCTTTAGCGTGTGTTATTTATGGATTTCTCGTTATAATGAGTGATGTATGATGCTTATTTATTTCACTTGGTGAAACATACAATACTGTAATTAGCTATATGTTATTAAAGTGTAATTTATGAATAAATAAATAATAAAATTACTTTTTGTGTCACATGCTTTGCATTAAAATAATAATGTGCCAGTGCTCTGCTTTGGGTTTGAGGGGAGGAGATCTCTCCTACAACGCCTTGAAAGACTAGGCAAAGGAAGAAGTCGGTCATTTCCTGGTCATGAGCATTGAGCCAGTGGGTATCTCCCTGTTTACAGCCCTGCGGCTCGTGGTGAAAATTTAACATTCCATTACGATGGTGAGTTTAGTAATAGGATAACCACTGTAGGCTTCCCCAGCAAGTGTTATTTCTTTTACAGAGCCTGGATGGATAGTGGGCTGAGTCAACTGCCAACCAGTATTTGAACTCGCAACTTTCAGGATCACGAGCAGCTTGCTCTACCACTGATCCATCTGATAGGTGATTTATTTATTTAGTATGGTTATGCTGTACTTTAATCCAACCAACAGTTCATAATGTAGAACGTATACAATTACACGTGTGTACTTCATCCAAAATACTGTGCAAACATGCCCGTATTGATGGTGAAGTGGTTAGCACACTGCGATCTGAATCCAGTTACCTGGGATAGATTCCCAGCCTTGGCACGCGATGTTAGTGGCACGTGATGTCTGAACTGATCCTTGGCACAACCCCCCCCCAACCCGCCCTTCACCAACCTGCACTGACTAGCGGGAAGTATGGAAACAACAACCCCAACCACAAAAGTCTGGGGATGTAAATTTGAAAATGCACACTGTACATTATGACCATGACTGTGGAAAGGCCTTCATCCAGCAGTGTATTGGCGTCTATACTATGTATTATACAGTATAGATCGCTAGTCCACTGAGTGAAAACATGAAGCAAATGTGACCGACCAACATTTACATGGTGTGATATTGTAACTTTTGCAATTTTTAAACAACGCTGCCTTATGTGGTTAAAATAAGTCGCGTTTTCAACCGTTGAACTAATCGTGAAAAAATAAACATTGAAACTTCCTCTGATTCACAACCCAATTACAAGCACATCCTGTTTTGTGTGGTACTTATTCATCCGAAAAATGTCTTCTCATTTTTTCATGAATAAGAGTGGCACAGCAAACACTATCTAAGACGTTTTATCTGGTGAGAGAAGAGTCACGGTAAAAATCATCCTATTCGCAAACAGCCGCGATCCATTCAAATGATGGATGAAGACCTCCCCAAACCGCCTCCAACACTATATCTCTCCTGAAACGTAAACTGATTCCATTAACACCATCTCTGCAATGTATGTCCTCTCTGGGTATGTTCCCTCTGTTGGCCGCCATTCCGTTGTTTATTCGTGACCGACAACCATCATATCTTCAAGTGACCTGCCAAGGCCTACGAATATTCACAGTGTAGTTGATAAGCGGAATCGTTTTTTACGAATAGGCATGCATAATAGGGTCCTCCAACAGCTTCCATCAATGCAGATGAGGGAGGTTTCACCGCAACTGCAATGCGTGGTGCACACACACATCCCTTTACTTTTAAGTGAGTGCAACCGTACGCATTTAATCACATAGATATAAGGGGATAAAATGTTATTTAATCTAGAGAAGCCCCCAAAACTCCAACGCGTTGTGATCTTTTACACTGAAATACATTCGAAAAAAGGAGCCAATGATCTTTGCCCTGGATCCTCAAGCAAGTTTGACGTCTAATAAACATTTATTTCTTTATGACTCTGGAGTTCAACCTCGGTGACAAGTGACTGACAAAGGTGGAGCAATCTTTTTTTAGCGAAAGGTTAAAGAATCAAAAAGTTGCATTTGTCTGGAACCACTGCCAATACCAATGTCATAAAAATAGATAAAAGGTTGACCTTGCACCGGCCATTGGCATGGTTGTCAACGCTTGAACTTTGATCCCTGATTCAGCCGACCGCCTGACCCTGCCACAAAGTAACCTCACGCACGCACCCTGAGGGTCTTACGCACATGTGCAGTGGCACAGTATTGCCATCTCCCACGCGATAACGTCACTGTTCGATTTTTCTGGCTGCCAATCGCAATACATTTCTTCCGCTCCCACACGGGGAGAGTATAGGAGTCATTAGAAGGCCTCGTCGCCTTTTGAAGTTATTGTTTAATTTGCTTTGTCAGTCCATGTGTGACCCTTTAATGCGTATCTCTTGTCCTTATGTCTCCCATCTCTTATATTTATCCATCTTTCATCTCGGTAATCTTTATTTTCTACGGTCCTTTCGTATCTATTTTTTTTATTGAAACTCTTCCATCTCACCTATATTTATATTTACACAAGCCATTTCTTTCTCTGGGTCACAGCTGCAAAGGGCCACATCTGGCCCACGCCCCAGCAGTTGAAGAACCCTGAACTATGGCCAAGGTTGGGCTAATGGAGCCATATATGGCTGCAATATATGCATCCAAATGACATTTAAATGTGCAGTCCTGCTAGAGGTGGGAGTACCGACACTATCCCACCACACACGACCTGCCGCGTGACTGACTGTGGTGCATCCACTTATATTGCTGGGTAGGACATGCGCGGTTATTTTAAGAACCTTTTGCTCAATGTTCCAACGACCTCACGACGAGATTGGATCGACCCGGATAACCCCTGGATTTAAAGTCCAGTATGCTAACCATTACACCACGCCAAAAATTCGTGTGGCCATGTATATACGCGGCACATTAAAATATCAAGAGCACGTTCGTGCTGCGATTAAAAATGTGAATGGAATAAGGAGATGTTTGCGTGTGATAGTGCAACAGCCCTGCCACATCAGGGGACACCTGCTCGTTCTGAATCTGCATTCACAACCACGCATGGATATTTTCTGCTCCGCTCGTCCCTTGCCTTTAACTGATTGCAGGGTGGCGACAAAGATCGTCCGTCCGTGATCGTCTCCGCAAACATGATTTGCGAAGCGTGCTGAAAGCATCGGGGGGAAAAAATTCGAAAAGATCCAGGGATATGTTTACTCCCGCCCTCGGACGCTCAGAATTGGCACCTGAAATCTTGTTAAACGATATCAACGTGATGACTAATGGACACAGGCCTCTTTTGTCTACATCACGGTGGAATCAAATGCACTCTCGCTTCCAGCGAGCACCGGGCACATCCCTCTTGCGGTCGCCATGGCAATCTGATGAGCTTGCTGTCTCTCTCGGGAATGGGCAGGGGGGGGCTTAGCCGCTTTGGTTCTTCCATCAATGACAATTTTGCAGCTTACGAATACAGTGCCATATGGTCCTCTGGTCTGATAGCGCTTTCTGAGCGGAACGCGTTCACTCGGCGCGTACGTGCTCTCCGTTCATCACGTAAATAAATGTTTTAATCCTACAAAAAAAACCGCAGAGTTGATGCTTTGATGTGCACCGTTTATGGATAGATAGAGGGCACTCCGCAACATTACCATGTGCTCCGTACGTATCAATAATGTTCTTTGGGTCTTTCGGTAAAACTACGATGTTTCGATCGCAACACAAGCGGCGTTTCGATCGAAACGTAGTTCTTGGTTATTTTCTTTGAACCTATCTACGTGACTTTACCGAAAGACCCAAAGAATATGAATTCCTGCAGTCACGAAAGCTTTAAGTCCCGAGAAATAGTGTTGCAAGCTATCACCTTGCCCAAAGTGGTTTCTGCCATTTACGCTCCACCGAAGACCAGCTGCTCCGTATCACCCAGTCAATTAGCGACGGCATGGCCCCAACGTCCAACCTCAGTGAAGGGCACTTGCCCTCATTGACCCCAACCGAGCTTTTGGCAAGGTCTGGTTCAAAGGCCTGTAACGCCAAAATGAATTATTTCTTTGCAGACGCCACGCTGCATCAACCGATGGGTGCAGGCCTTTTTTACCGACCGCCTGCGTCGATGTGAAAGGTCAGCACAGCCGATACCGATATTTCATCAACAGCGTCCCCCAAAGTTGCGTGCTTTTGCCAATCTTATTTATCATGCATATTAATGGGATTCTGTAGAATCTACCGGCTTGGAGGAGATGGGAGCCCAATTTAAGATGAAGTGGCACTGTTGGACGTCCAACAATTCATCGGAATGCGCCGAAAGGCTCGTGCAAGCCACCAATGGAGCAGCTCGATCTGTGAGTGCAGAAATCTTCGTCGAGAACAGTTTGGAGACACTGCTGCACTCGAGACGCCCTGGTAACATCCAGAAAATGTTGTGGATTTGAGAAGCTGGCCGACTAGGCCACCATCAAAAGATGTTTTTTTTTTATCTCAGACGTGAAGAAGGCAAAACATTAATACATGTGAATTGTGATTACTGAATTCGTGGAAACATTTAAAAATGATTATTTTTAATAAACGGATGTGTGCAGGTTTATATTTTTTTCCAGGAAATTACCCAATAAAACATGCAAAATGGGCCAACTTTCGCATGCGGTTAGAACCGTTGGATCAATTATGGTCCAACGTTCATTGTTTCAATGCTATGCGGTCCAAATACAATTTAGTGGTGGCAATGAAATACTGCACCTGGACATTGATGGCTGCATTACCATTTGCCAATCAGTAACAGACAACTTTAATAGCCATTCTTAAAATTAAATAAAAACTTCAGACGTCAACGACGCGCTGTTAAGTGCGTTTCACGGTGTCAGTAAACATAAACCGCAATTTTGCCTTTTTATATATTTCTCAACACATTCGGCCGCAGTAAATCTTCAAACGTGCTCGTAAAATTTAAGACCACGGAGTACATTTGCGAGCTTTGATATGTTTTGGAAGGTCCGTGCAATAGGACGGCTGTAAAACCTATAAACACACATGCCTTTGTCGCCATATATTGGATGACCACAGTATAAGGAAGACCAAAAAAAAAAAGGTTATGTTGGCTGGCGTGCGGGCACGTGCGTGGTGGCGGTGGTGACGTCACCTGCATCCCAGAATTGAACCGGGATCGTGCGTGCCGACGTCATGCCTCCGTCCACATTGCACAGCTTTCTCGCTGGTTCAGCAGTTCCACTGCTGGATTATTTTTTTTGTCCGCCTGACGACGACCGCTTGTGTTGCGATCGAAACGTCGTGATATCTTATTTTTTTGTTTCATTTTATTTTTCTACCTACGTGACTTTACCGAAAGAACCAAAGAGTATCGCTTAAGATATTAAAACAAAAATGTGCAGTGAAACTCGTGTTATGAACAGCCCTAATACCCAATGCTCATTATCCAGGGCACCAATCGATTTGTAGAAATTCCTGTTATCTGCATGCAGATTCATCATTCCCATCACCTGTGCTCATGGAGGCTGCGAGACCAATTGACTTCCCAGCTGCAAGCAGGTGGCCACAGATTGCAGTCGTCACATCTCAGCTGTTGCTGCTCTCCATCGCAGGGTTTCGCCCACTCCATCAATCCGTCTTGTTGTGGTCGTCCATTCCCTTTGTTGTCTTCCACGAGCGTTAATAATAAACGATAGCCTTTTTTTCCATCTCAACACATTTTAAAGGGCACCCCCAGTGGCAAGCTGTCTTTGGGTATAAGGTTGACCCATCATGTGGCATGGAAACTGGCTTTTGTCTGCCAGTAAGGGGAAATGTTTGCTGTGTATTATCCCAAATAATGTAATTTTGCAGGTAGAGTTATTTCGAGTTTGGGAAATTTTTAACCCTGACATTGGCACACAAATGGTCTATTCTTGCGAATGACATCAGGAGATCTTTAACGTCCACTGTGTGTACTATTGTAAGGGTAACACAAAGACATCTTAAGTAAATAATGAACGGCGGCTGGTGCATAGCCAGGCACGGGAAAGCAGGGCATTGGTTGAGGACTTGGAGAGAGTTTTATTTATACTGTACACGTTTTTGTAAATACATGTCAACTTAATTCATAATAGAAGTTTTTGGGTTAGATCGCGTAAATATATAAATGTGTCGTTAAAACCCACCACCACCCGACACAGTCAACTAGTAAGGGTTTTAACGTAAATAGAACATGCCAATTCGTCACTAGTACAGCACACCGGTGTGTTGGAGAGCCAAGCCACAACATTTA